GACCTTCTCTCCACCAGCTCCTGGGATCCAGCAGAAGTGAAGCAAAACAATGGCGTGTCAGAATGCCTAGAAAGAAAAAGTCGGTGGTGGACCAACGCCCCGTTCGCTTAGGCTTGGTTAGCTTATAAGCTGTACTTTTTCAGTCAACGAAAAATATTTTTCTTTCACACCAAATCAGTCAACAGTACTTTCAGCTATGATTTATCAGCCAAACAAGCCCAAACAAACAGGGCGCAATGGTGCTTACTTTTCCAAACAGCAATGGCTCAAATCCCATGAGCTTAGGGAGAAAAATAAAATAGAAAATTTACTAGGTACATCTTTCTTTCCCCCATACCAAGATGGTATCCGGAGATATGTAATTTGTACTCTATGACAGGCCATTGATGGGCAAAATAAAATTAATCAGGTGGGGAATCCCTCCCCCGGTTGACTATCAAAAAAAAAATACAGACACATGAGCCCAAAATAAATTACATATGTATAGCTAAATTGCTCCCATGAAACTTATGAAAGTTAACATTGTTCCGTCATTCCGTGTTTATATTAAATTCAAGATTATACTGTAAAATTATTACAAGATTGCTAAAAAAATTGATAACAATACAATGTTTATACTTTGATCAGTTTTTTCCCATTGCAACGCAATGAATGAAATCCTCAAAAGTCTTTGGAGGAATCGTCCACCAGGTGGCAGAACAAAATCTCAAAAATATCCGGTAAAAAGGGAAGCACTCGATCGGACTCTGGCAAGTGACCGGAAAAGAAAACAAACAAACAAAAATTATAATGGGACTCTGGACAAAATCTCCGGTAAAAAAACTGCTTCCGATTCCTCTAATTCCAGGCGCTACAAGAAGCAGGCCGATGGCCCTTCTCAAGGTGAGGCCGTGTCCAGTAGGGACACGAATCTAAGAATAATAACAGAGATAAATTAGGAGTTTGCTAGAGTATTAGTGTCTCCATAGGATTTTGTATTCGGCTTATATATATATATATATATATATATATATATATATATATATATATATATATATATATATATATATATATATATATATATATATATATATATATATATATATATATGATCAATTAACAATTGGATTATCAATCCCATTTCCCTTACCTCTTCTACCCACACCTGCCTCGCCATTGCGTCTCTACCACGGCGTCGAAGCGCTTCTGATATAAAATAGAGGCATCTTTGTAAATCTTTTTTTTTTGTAGCAGTGGTTATCGGTGATGGAAGCCTACGGCGTGCTCGTGTTATGCGTCAGCATCACCACCAAGACGAAGGAGGTGGCTGAGGCAACTGCAAGGACTATTTAACTACTAATGCTTGCGGTGATCAAATCTGTTGCCCTAGACATGTACAAAAATACATGACCCGGGTACAACACACACGGGCATTTATCTAGTTAATTACTAAAATATATAGAGAGAAAAATTCCGTACCGACTTTTTTCGTTTTCTATATTGTGATACTATTTTTGACTTTTTTCACCCGTGAAAAAAATGAAGCGTATCACCCCGGAGGGTTGCGTAGTTGTGTTAATATAGAGCGATAAAAGTCAACTACAACATATGGCAACCAATCAATCACAGCAATCCTGATTACATGCAAGATACAAACTCTAACACACCTCATCAATCATAACTTCACCAGGTTAAGGTTGTTTTTTAATTCTTCAAGTTGTCGGACTGTCAAAGGTTTTGTAAACCCATCAACAAGTTGACCCTTGTAGGAAATAAACCTGACGTCCAATAACTTGTTTGCAACCCGTTCTCGCACAAAATGAAAATCAACTTCTATGTGCTTTGTTATAGCATTGAAGACTAGGTTAGCTGTCGTATTTTGCTCCCAAGTTGTCGCACCAAAGTATTGGTACTTTTACTTGACTGATGCCTAGTTCTTGAAGAACAGTTTCCACCCAAATAAGTTCTGTTGTGCCACTGCCAAGTGACTTCTATTCAGCTTTTGTGATTGAGCGAGAGACGGTCGGTTGCTTTCAAGCACTCCAGGATATCAAATTGCTTCCAAGAAATATTGCCAATGCTCTGATAATACTGGATGACCTCTTTCTGAATTTAATTCCAAGGCTCAAAGTATGCTGCACATATCTAAGTATACGCTTAGCTGCTGACCAATGTGTTGTTGTGAGGCAGTGAAGAAATTGACACACTTTATTGACAATATGTATCTAGAAAAAAAAAGTCTTACAATTTAAAACAGAGCAAGTAGAAAATATCAGACCCCGATACTAAAGAACCTAACCACCGCAAGGGCTGCCTTCAGAATTGGCTAAACTTTGAGAATCATACGGGTTCGAGCTCAGACATTTTTCAAAACCGAGGTTAGAAACCAATATTTAAAAGAAAACAAAAAAAACATATGGGAAACCGAATCCAATATATTCGATCAAAGTCTAATAACTTAATCGGGACCAAACAGCTCGAGCCCAATATTTAAAAGAAAACAAAAAATCAGAAGGGAAACTGAATCCAATATATTCGATCAAAGTCTAAGAGTAAATTGCACGGCCGGTCCTTAAAGTATTGGACTGATTTCGTCTGGGTCCCCAAACTATGAAATCGTACTCTTGGCTCTCTAATGTATTTAAGTGATCTCATCTAGGTCCAAAATAGACATGAGAAGGGTTAGAAGCTGATCTGATTGTCCACGTGGACATGATTTAACCCAGTCACTGCCACCGTCGGTTAACAAGCGATCTAGACCGTAGGTTTTGGATTGGTGGGGTAGGAGGAGTCGTCCTCCCCTGTAGCTGCGCAGGGGTGCTCTCCGGCAGCGTCCTCGTCGGAGTTGAGGCGGGGCGGAGCTCCGGCGAGCGGTGGAGCGGGAAGAGGAGGCCACGGCAAAGTCGTCTGCCGCGTTCTCGATGGCGGGGAGGCAGCGGGGAAGGAAACCGAGGCGATGGGGCCGGACGGTGGCAGATCTCGAGCGAGCGGACCCGCAGCCGCGCTCATCGTCGCCATGGGCGGCGGCGGCTACAGCCAGCGGTTCCAGCGCGCGAGGCCTCGCTTCTGCGCGCCCCTCCATCTCATGGCGGGGGTTCGTCTGCTGCTGGCTTCGACCTCGGCGGCGGCGACGACGACTACTACAACGACGACGTCGCCTTCCACTCCTCGTCATCCTCCTCCTCCTCCAAGGCTGCGTCCTCCAGGATCCTGCTTCGCTCCACAGGTGCGTGCGGCGGCGCAGCGCCGCGCGCCAGACCCCACGACGCCTACATGACTCTGCGAGAACCGACGACGGCGAGGCGTGGGTGGAGCCCAACAACCTCTCGCGATCCTTCTCCACGCGCTTCGTCCTCCTCCTCCTCCCGCTAGCCTCGGCCGCCACCGCGGCAAAGGTGACGGCGATGGCTCCCTGCTTGATCCCGAGCCTCGCCGACTCCTCGAGCGCGGCGGGTGTACTGCTCCCTGATCCGGCCCGTCTGGTGCAGGGCATCCGCCCTGTGTCGAGGTGAGGTGGAGCAGCGGCGGCGGCAGGCTGGGAGCTGCAGGCCCGCGGCGGGGGCGAGGAGAGCGGCGCGGACGGTCAAGGGTGGAATGCGTGGAGGGAAGCCATTATGCGCCGGCGAGCGGCGAGCCGGTCTCTCTAGGCTCCGGTGTAGGGGCGGGCAGACAGCGCAGCGAAGGCCGAAGCGCGCCCGCGCCCCACGGTAGCGGCCCAGCTGCGGCAGGCTGCGCCCTTGGAGGTCTCCACAACTCCACATCTGTCCATGCCCACTGACGTGCCGCGCACTGTCCTTTGCCCTGGTAGCCGCCGCCGCATCTCTATTCTCCCGCGCGCGCCATACCTACATGCAGCTGCCGCCGTCGATCTCCTCGCCTGCCGCGTCCCCGCCGGCGATACCTTCACGACGAATTTCGCAGCGAGGTGAGTAACCCTCCAATGCCTGTCCCGCCCTCTCCCTTCCTTCCGCGCTCACGAGCTCGCCGAATCCCGCCACCGTGCTCGGTCCTCCTCGCCGTCGTTACCACCGTCTCTGGCCTCCGTTCATTCTCAGACGAGTCCGCAACGTCGAGCTATACGCGTGGGAGTAATCCTCGTGCCCGGATGGGATCTGTAGCCCGAGCGCCGCCACTTTCCGGCGAGCTCCCGCCGCTGCCCATGGCAGCGCCACCGTGCCTCGCGGCGCTGACCACCGGCGCCACTGGTCAATCCCGCAGGAGACGATCTCCAACCGTCCGATCTGGAACCAGTGGGCCAGATCCGATCCAGCCGCGGTCAACACGAAGTCAGCAGAGCTAACTGGTGCGTACGTGGACAGCCTTGACACCGCCTGGGCTGTTTAGGACCTACATGGGCCGGATTAAGTAGATTGGGAAGCCAACTGTGCGATTTAATAGTTTGGGGACCCAGACAAAATCAGCCCAATACTTTAAGAACCGACCGTGCAATTTACTCAAAGTCTAATCACTTAATCGGGACCAAACAGCCATAGATCACCATCGTAACTAAGATAACTCAGCTGTATGGATAACAATTTTCCTTTTGATTCCTATACACAAGCATTTTCTGGTTGTAGATGAGTTCCACAAGCAGATTGTTAGCAGCAACACTACTGATTTTTGCTCCAAACTTAAAATTCAAACATAAAAATCATTGCCAACGATTCTATGGCACAAAAATACAAAATTGTACTATGTAACTAAGAGCATGAAAATGGTTGCCAACCACAATCGAGAGGGAGAAATGGACGCACAAACAATAGTTTAATTTATTACCAAGTCAAAATTTCTTGAAAGAATACCGACATGACTCCCTGATGTACTACAAGCCACGAGTTCCATCCAATTCTTGCGACACACACACACAACAGCTACAGGCACCATACCATCCGTTCAACAACATATCTCGCCCACTTTTTAGGACAACCTATAAGGCTATAACCTTCTCACCTGACGCTACTATGCTCACCGGACCAAAACCTTTGTTTCCCGTCAGAGGGGACACATCGGAGGGGAGCTCTCTAGCTCACTAGCTGCTGGTTACCATACATCGGGTACGCGCCATACGCTGCAGCGTACATGTTTGGGTGTGGCACCGGGGAGGCATAGCCATATCCGCCATAAAATGGTGTGCCATAGTACATGTTGTTCCTCCTGTTGCCGGAGTCACCCCTCCACTGGAAACAGAAAAGGAAATGGGTGTAAGACTGTAAGGGGAGGAAGGAAGCAAATGGTTTCACAAAAGCATTATACCTTTCACAGTTGTGAGGAATTATAAATATGTCAAAAAATATGCAATGCTAAAAAGAAAAAATATGCAATGCCTATTTCAGCCGGAATGGCCCTGTTCGCTTCTCTTATAATCCGTACTTTTCAGCTTATTTTTTCAGCCGAAACAGTGTTTTTCTCTCACAACAAATCAGCCGGAACAGTATTTCGGCTTGTTTTTTCAGCAAAGCGAACGGGCCTGACACAAAACGGGTGCAAGAGATCAGAATGCCCAGGGCTACCTTATTGCTGCTTAAAATGTGCTGCAAGATGCAACCATATTTAACCTTTTGTTTCTGTTTAGGGTTGTAGGAACATAATTGTCAGTACTCAACTGTGGTAAGCTAGTTGCAATCAAGGTTACAATTTTCAGAGAACTGGTTTTTAGTCTTAAAGGTAAAAACAGAATTATGCAGCAGATTAATCAAGTTAGTTTGTTCGAGAGATAAATAAGTGGAGGGTGGAACATCATCCAGCAAACTCCTTCTGAGAGTTGGTTTATTCCTCCACCAACCCAATGAATGAAACCGATGGTGGTGAGCGCATCCAAAGTCAGTGTACTCAATAATTTACTGAATTGCTGTTAAGTTAGCAAACCTAGCTATTGCAAAGCTACAATTTAACAAAAACTGATTGGGGTCAGTGGAAACTGATACTATAACAAGCAACTACAGAGGACGGGTAGATAACCCAGGTAGCTAGCAGAGAGAGTTGGAGCTAGCGCCTTGGGTTTGAATCCCATTGGCTACGCACTCGTTAGAGTTGTGGGCGGGCCAGATGGGGAGTTCAAACCTCGGTTCTCATATTTAAAGGTAGGGGTGGTGGTGGCTGTAATCTAGCTTCTGGCTCCTATAACAAGTGATTACACAAGAAAAAATAATCCTCACCAAAGGAAAAAAAATGAATACAGAGGAAGGCAATGTCAAGCATGACAAACCTGCTATGCGATGGGCTGCGGCCCCATGAAAGGCGAACTGCCTGCTTTCCAATGAGTGATCCATTTAATCCTTGTAGTGCTTCTTCAGCATCAGTTCTAGAAGAATAGTCACACGGCTTAAACATCACTTCAGCAAAGTTATGGACAAAAATAAATAGCAAATCATGTAAATGCTTCAGGTACATACCTGCTAACAAATTGAACAAAGCCACATTGCTTTCCTAGAGGAATTTTCACAGGCAAGATCACCATATTTGGCAAAGGCTTTTCTAAGTTCATCTTCACTGACATTGGGGTCAAGCCCACCAACATATACCTAATGGAGGGTGACAACTACAGATTAAGAACTATCAACTTAAAGGTAATAAACAGCACAGGTAAAGAGTACCACAAACCGTTCTGTTAGAAGAATCGCCATCTGAATGACCAGGAGTCGAGGAGCCAGAATCTCCTGAGTACAGTAGTCATCAAGTTCAGTGAGCAGATCAGAAAAACTAGAGAGATTACACGAAAGAACATGAACAATGCCATGGTACATAACACATAACATGCTCTGGGAACATTAACTTGGTGTGGATTGACTATCTGTGGATAACATATAGTAAGTTTGAATCAAGGAACCTACCTATAAAGTTATTCAAGGAGCAACTATAGAAGGGTTTGTGCCAGTTTAGTACATGCAGTGCTAGCTCCACACTGAAAATTTTTCATGCACTAGGTTGTTTTCCTGATACTATTCATTAATTTCAACAGGCTACATATTCGGTCCTCAAAAGAACAAAGTACCCATAGATAGATCGCAGAGCAGTAAATTGGAGGAAAACATGGCTCTACTGTTAGAGGTGAAACAGAATCCAGGATATCTATATTTGCGGGCTTCTGACACAAAACCATAGGATTCATGGAATGTGTCAAGATGCATCAACTATATGAAATCCACCTGAGCTAAGAAGAGGATCACACAAGCAGCAACTCTATCAGCAGGCCAAGGATGAGAACGAGTACTTAGTAGACTGGTGCTAGAGATGAGGCCACAGCCATCCAATCAGATAGTGGGATTTCCCTAGGAATCAGATTTTTTTTCAGAACACTGTAGCCATAGAAATCAGGCTTTACATACCACAAGCCAATATACCGGAATTTTCTTTACAGTTACGACCATAAAGCATGAAAATGATGTCACAAACATGTCAGCAAAAAGCAACGAACATTTGGGCCAAGAATGATAATGATAAACTGTTCCAAAAAATAAAGTGAACGATGAAATGATGAAGAGTACTAATAATGTGTATCTGTACAAAGAATATAACGATGAACAATAGGGCAGGGTATACAATCAACCTGTATGTCAGTAAAGGAGTATTCTCTTCACGATGTTCAGGTTCAGCATTGTAATTAATCTAGTGCTGTATGTCTGGATCATGCTGTAGCTGTGCCGAGCAACACAATGGATCATTACAACAACAACAACAACATAGCCTTTCAGTCCCAAGCAAGTTGAAGGGAATGCAACACGAGGACTTCCCAGGAGGTCACCCATCCTAGTACTACTCTCGCCCAAGCACGCTTAACTTCGGAGTTCTGATGGGATCTGGTGCTTTAGTGCTGGTATGATCGCATCCACAACACAATGGATCATTGATAGAGCTATATAGAGTTGAAAGGCACAAGAAACTATCTCCTGGCTGCCACCAGCAGCATTTATATGTGCATAATCGCTTTCTCCCTTGAGATAACCTTCATTCCTTGTCTATGTTCAGTCCACACGCTTTTGGTGACACCTTCAGAATGCTATATATCATATATCACTACAAAAGGAGCTTCAATAAACAGATCAGAACGGTCTATCATGAATTCATGATGCCACGCATAATCAACAAAGGTTAATCGCTTAACAATTTGATACATAGAGAAATTAAGAGATTTAAATTGAAGCAGGCAACTTCAACACTGAACTCTGTCATTCACATCTGAATCAGCCCTGAAAGCAGTGTTTTCATCCCATCTTTTAGTTAACCGAACTGCGCTATTTCTTTAAGTTGGTCTTAACTCAGTCAAAATTTCTTTATATTGCATAACTAATTTGTTTGGTTCTGGATAGGTTATATCCGAACTCAAACCTACAGAAATTATGTGCTATCAGAGCACATACATCCAGAATCGATTTCTGCAACATTTGACTAAAAAAATGGATGAACCATATAAGAAACAAACAAATCATGCAACTCTACAAATATTGTCAATAAAATCGTTTCCAGCTTCATCCTTGTGCTGGACTAAGATCTGCAATACCTACACACGGTTGCTGACGGATTGGAAAAACAGAGCTCATCCCTCCTTCTCTTGCCCTCCTACTAAACATAAAACAGGGACATGGGACATCCCAGAAAGGGTGGGGGAAATCAACATGGAAAGTACGTGGTCATAATTTTCCAACCACCAAAGGCTTTTGTAATAGCACAAGTTCCTCCCATAACTTTGAGATGCAACCAACCAACCACACTGATTTTCCCAAGCTCTCATATCCGGCAATATGAGAACAATTAATAATAGCTCAACTGAGGAGCCGAGAAGCAAGATGATCAAACCATACCAAAATGGCACACAAACTGAGGCAATACACTACATACCCAAAAATGAAACAAAATAGAGGGTTGTATGAGTTTTGTTACTAACCAATTTTCTCTAGATGTTGAATTATCATATCTGGAAGATCAAATTTCAGTATATCCTTTTCAGCTCCATATCTCATAGGAAGTATACTGAAAGCACAATAAACACAATGTAAAGAGGTAACAGTTATAGTGCCTTACAAGATACATAGCACAGCTGAAGTAAACAAGTGGGTGACACATTCCCCATTGAATATTGATGTTTCAACTTTTATTTTTGGAATTAAACAATAGTTCTAAAACCTTAATGACTATTTAAAACTGTCACATTGCATATTTCTGATGAACATTTAACTTACTTCTAACATTGCAGCTCATGCATATCTTTATCCCTTTTACACTGCTTCATAGAGAATTTATGATTCTCTAGATGAACTCCACATATGAGACAAGGAATGGCATTGGTGGTAGTAGGCTAGTGCAAAATTTACATTTGAACAACTGGAAGAAGCCCCAAGTGAAGCTGCTGGTGAAGAATTTCCTGCAGCCCATGTTTCAAAGTTCAGACACACACATTTCAGGATCGGAGGAAGAACTCCGGCACAGTATCAGCGTCAGAGGGCGGTGTCAGTATACTCCATACTTGGCAATCATTTTCCCCTCCCGATTGTGCAAGCTATTGATGAGGTGGGCAATCACAGTGCCGCTCGGGTAGATGAGCTTGTAATCGACGATGATTATCTGAACACAACCAGCACCAGAATCTAATCAATAAACCGAGTTACAGTGACAGGATTGTTGATGGCATACAGCTACTATTTTTGTGCTTTGCAACATACATATAGAAAATAGGAACAGCCATGCAAAATGGCAACAAGCACCAGGCAATGTTCAGCTAGCAACAGGCCAATTACTGGATAAAAAACAACAGGCTGGAGTGGACAACCTGCATACCAGGCAAAGGTTCAGCTAGCAAGAGGCCAATTAGTGGATAAAAACCAACAGATTGGAGTGGACAACCAGCAAAACTATGTTCAACATTGTTGTGCAGTGTACTCACTACTTCAGAAAAGGCATCTCATGAACCCTGAATTCCAGATAAAAATGCATGTTTGGTTTCAGGACAGTGCATCGCTGCATCTGTCTATTCTCGGCATTGCTCCAAGGGTAATATGTGCCACTGAAATGAAATAATAATTCAAGCGAGTTCTTGGGTGTGGGTATAAATGCTAAATTATGTATTATATTCCACAGGGGCCAGGATCTGTATATGCCACTTATGTAAAGTGTGCTTAATTGGCTGGAAACCATGCAGCCATCTCAAGTAAAGACACGTCTTTGGTGGTAAAGGCTAACTCCATCGGGAGCTTCTACTTCTTTCACATTGGTTGATGGTCAGTCAAGGAAGGGGTAACTCATCCCTAGGCTATTGTTGCCATTGCTCTGCAGCCAGAGCCAATAGGCCAATCGAACAGAGTAACAACCATGCTTCTCAAAAGCCCAAGCTGTGAAGTTATGAAAAATATTAAAATATATTTGGAAAATATCATAAGAAGTAAACTTTCCACAGAAAGAACATTTTGATTCCTAGACTTCAGATATAGCATACTTTCTACAAATGCAGAATAATATCATTGCCTTTTCATACAATTTGATTTATGGGCACCATAGCAAACCTAATCGCTTTCTACCAAACAATAATTTGTTCAAGGGATTTCAAAACAGAGCGGTGGCATGGTGGCCTGGAGTGTCTTGCCTCTTAAGCCATGTGGGGGCTTCAGTCAGAGTGCGGTGTCTTACAGCGAGGCGGCTCATACATCAGTCTAGAGAAGGACCCAAACTCCCTAGGAGCCACACAGGAGAGGATATTTCTTAGATACAAGATGGATTAAATAAGGTTTTGTTCTCTTTGACGAGGATGAAAAGGCAGGGAAGGTGGTCCATTAAGCACCAATCAACTTATTAATGGCATGACATTGACTGCAGGTGTGGAACACAGTCATTTGATTGCTTTAATGAATTGCTGTGATCTTTCAGTTCTGTCAAACTCATAGCTTTACAAGTGCTACATATGGTAAAAAAGATTCTACAGGAAAACAATCTAGAAATAACAGCATGGTTGAATGTATTGTAGAAACAAATGGAGAAAACCTTTCTAAACATGAAACTTGGAAAGCAGGGAAAATTTCAGTGTGATGGTATAGCTCAAGTAACCTGAAGTTAAAACTGTTAATGTAACACTTTAAACAAAAGGAGCATTTTTGAAATGCATATTAATATCTTATCTGATTATTTGCATAAGGCAAGGGCTAACCTGTATCGATTACACCCTCAGCTGTTGTCCATGGATTTAACTGACACTTTTCAGGTTACTGCTTTCCATTTCTTGTCCATAGAATGGCAGTGTGGAAGTGGAGGAAACAAATGGAGCCAACAGTGTCCTGCACTAGGCGAGCTCAGAGCCATCATAGCAAAGTCCCTTCATCAAGTTAATAAATCTCTATGTGAAAATTATGTTACACCATTTGCTTTCTGAGAATCATCACAATCACCCCTGTCATTGCCAATGCCCAAAATGCAACGTAGCTTGACATCTGGAGCAATGCCTGCATGACGCATACTCTCATACATCATACAAGCTTCCTTCTCATCCCCCGTTTTAAGGTATCCAATAATGAGAGCTGTGTAGGTTACTACAGTAGGTTTAAGCTTTCTTTTTTCCATTTCTTCCATCATCAAGCGTGCACCATCCATTGCAAGCACTTTACTATAACCATCAATCATACAAGTATATACAAAAGCATCTGGGAACACACCACTTCTTTCCATTTCTCTGAGCCATTCATTAGCAGCCTTCATATTTAAACGCCTACAATAGCAAGCAATGATAGATGTGTACAAAACATTGTCAAGGAACAGGTCTTCCCCAATCATATCCCTAATCAATCCCATAGCTTCAGGAAGTCTATCATCATTACACAGCCCATTTATGAGGCTAGAATATGTAAATGTGTTAGGTTTTACGCCTTCATCCAACATCTTACGGTACAACCTTAAGGCCTCCTGCAACTTCAGAGATTTCACGAAGCCATCAATAATAATACTGTAAAGGACAACATCAGGAACATAGCCCCGCTTTATCATGTCTGCTAAAAATTTCCACACATCACTATATTTGTTGGTCTTGCAAAGGCCATTGATAATAACTCTGTACATGCAAAGGTTTGGGACGATTCCCAATGACTGATGTATTCTATCCAGGAATAGGAAGGCTTCACCAACTAGCCCTTCTTTGCTAAAGCTGTCAACTAGGATTGTGCATGTCACAATGTTGGGACTCAACCCATTTTCAAGCATGAGCTCAAACACTCCCAATGCATCTTGAAGGTTTCTATGTCTACATAATGCGTAGATCAGACTGGTATAATTGTAAACATCTGGAGCGATATCATGATGAATCATGCCAAACCAAAGGTCAGAGATGGCCTTGAGATCTAAATGTTGGCAACAGCCATGAAGAATGATGCTGTAATTTATCTGATCATGCTCAAAACCATGGTCTTGGAGGTTCTTGAAAATCTTTAATGCCAATGTAACCTGTCCAGTTTTGCAAAGGCCATGCAGAAGTGAACTGTAACTCACTTGATTAGGATATATTCCATTTCTTGCCATTTCATCAAGCATGTCATAACCTTTCAATAAATCCCCATGTTTGCATAACCCATCAACTAATATGCTGTAGCTGTGGACATCTGGGACAAACCCACATTTCTTCATCCCATGAAACACTTCTATGGCTTTGTCAACCTGACCCTCGCTACAGAAACCATGAATCACAGCATTGAAACAATAATTGCTGCAAGGGCCTCCACTCTGAGAAAGAGTTTGAAGAAAGTCCCATGCAGATGTTACCTGTCTGGAGCAGCAAAGCCCATAGAGGTAAGTTCCATATGTTGTAGCGTTTGGTCTCACACCATTCGATTCCATTTCACAAAGAAGCTCAAAAGCTTCATTTAAGCATAACCTCTCTCCATGTGTGTACATACTCATCAAAATTGAATAAGAGCAGAAATTGGGTGAAGGACCACAACTTTTCATGTCATCAAATAAACTCCTCGCATACATGATCTGATTCCCTCCACTAAACACTTCAGCAAGAAATTGCACAAGCGTCTGTCAACGCCAACATTCTTGGCCTCAACATAAGTGAGAAGAGCATCCTCAAACATCGACGACTCTACAAAAATACGGATGACCGCAGCATAAAATTGTAACAGCGTCATTGACTGACCCAAATTGCTGACCAAGATAGGAGCCAACTCAAACAACTCTGACCCAGCATTTCCACAGTAATCAACAATACTCTGAATCAAGCGCCGGACCTCTCTGATTCTCCGCGGCAAGAACGCCTGCACAATCAAAGCAAACAAACCAACTGACCGAGATGGCCCGTATAACCTCACACACTCCCTGAAGCTTATATTTCTGGCAGCATCCCAGTTCGAAGCCCGCACTGCTAGTGTGATCAAGGGAAGCAGACGACGACTTCTATAGTCACCATAAGCAGAACTCTGACTGGGCTCTTCGTTATCAGAGCTATTCAACCAACAAGCCTGAGAGGAAAGGCGCGACACTGGGGGATAGCTCCTGATGACAAGGGCTCGGCGCAGAAACAATGGGACCACCCGGCGCATAGACGATGCTGATCCCCTCCTTACATTGACAGTACCCAGCAGAAGCAGGGATGAGCTGTGCACGAACTACACTTCATGGACCAATATTACTTGACAAGTCGACGAAAAGGACCGCTGAGGCAACATCAAGTCCGGTAACCCCGGCAGCCGCAAAGGAATCGACGGCGCCGTGGCTTGGCTCGAACTGGAGGCTGGTGGCCCCAGTGGTCTCCGGGCCGCCGCCCCGCGCCCCGGGCAGCTTCAGTGGTCCCCTGCTCCTCGCCCGCCGCGGCAGGCAGCGAGAGATGGAGGCGAAGACGCAAGGGGCGGGGCAAGGTGAGGCCGACTTGGCGCGGGCGAACTTCCGCTCTGGATGCCCTTCAGCCACGATGTGCACGGAAGGGGACTAGAGGGGAGGACGGCGTGGAACTACGGTGGCGGCGGCGCGGGCGAATAGCGACGCTGCTCTAGCCTGCTTGGGAACTTGTTTTTTTTTTGGAAAAGAAGTGAGCCGGTGAGAATGAGAAGTGGGATGAGTCTCTGCCGCGGGCACGATCCGTTCGGAGGAGGCGAGCAGGAAGGACCGGGCCACGAGCAACATTGCCAAATTGGGAGCCCAAAAGGCCCAAGTGACCAAACAGAGAGAAATAGCAAGGGCACGCGCTGCGCTGAGCTTCAATTTTGTCCCAACTCGGCTGTCCTCAAAAAAAAAAAAGTCCCAACTCGGCGGCTTTGCTCCCCTTGCTACAGTTGCCCAGGGCGAAAAAGGAGGCGACGCGTCTTTTCGAAGGCGATTCCGTCGGTCCTTTGAAATAGCCAGAGGGGGTGAATATCCTATTAAAAATTTTTATAATAACACTTAGCAAACCGGTTTAGACAGATATGAGGTGAAGCGAGTGTTGCACTAGCCTAGTAAAAAATGTAAGCCACCTACTATAATTCTAGTTTATATAGTCTCTATCCACATAATGGCTATGTCACTACACTAAGTTAGTGTGCTCTTAAAGACTAACTAAAGAGCCACACTAACCAAACTAACAAGCTCTCATGATTAACTATACTAAAGAGCTTGACAACTAGTTTGGGTAATGTAAAGATATAGAGCAAGATAGTTATACCGCCGTATCGAGAAATAAACCAATCAATCATAAGAATGAATACCAATGAAAACCAATCACGTCGGAATCAAACGATGACAGAATGATTTTTTACCGAGGTTCACTTGCTTGCCGGCAAGCCAGTTCTCGTTGTGGCGATTCACTCATTTGGAGGTTCACGCGCTAATTGGCATCACACGTCAAACCCTCAATAGGGTGCCGCACAACTAACACAAGATGAGGATCACACAAGTCACAAGCAATTCACTAGAGTATCTTTTGGCTCTCCGTCGAGGAAAAGGTCAAGAACCCCTCACAATCACCACGATCGGAGCCGGAGACAATCACCAACCCCCGCTCGACGATCCTCGCTGCTCCAAGCCGTCTAGGTGGCGGCAACCACCAAGAGTAACAAGCGAATCCCACGGCGAAACACGAACACCAAGTGCCTCTAAATACAAGCACTCAAGCAAAGCACTTGGATTTACTCCCAATCTCACAAAGATGTTGAATCTATGATGGAGAAAAGTGGGAGGGCTTTGGCTAAGCTCACAAGGTTGTTATGTCAATGCAAATGGCCAAGAAAGTAAGGTAGAGCCAGCCAAACGGTATTTATAGACACCCCCAAATAATAGAGTCGTTGGCTCAATTATTGGGCTGACTACGCGTCGACCGGACGTGCAGGTCGTGTGCACCGGACGCACCGGTCGTGTATACCGGACACGTCCGATCGCTACCTGACCACCACGTGTCCCATTTTAAATGAAGTAGTCGTTACTGCCACAAATCCCATGCGATCGGACGCGCGGTTAGAAACGACCGGACGCGGAGCCGCAGCGTCCGGTCGAGTCCAGAGAGCTCCCAGGGCCGACCGGATGCGTCCGGTCACTCCGGACCGGACGCAGGAGACGCAGCGTACGGTCAAGTCCAGAGAGCTCCTAGGGCCGCTCCAGGCCGACCAGACGCGTCCAGTCACTTTGGACCGGACGTTCCCAGCGTCCGATCAACTGTTATACTGAACATCGACTTTACTGATTCACACCGGACGCGTTCGGTGTGGCGACCGGACACGTCCGGTCACTCTGTGACCTGCGCAACTAACTTCTTTTCAACTCTATCTTCTTCACCCTTACTCAAATGTGCCAACCACCAAGTGTATCATCTTGTGCACATGTGTTAACATATTTTCACAAATATTTTCAAGGGCGTTAGCACTCCACTACATCCTAAATGCACATGCAATGAGTTAGAGCATCTAGTGGCACTTTGATAATCGCATTTCGATACGAGTTTCACCCCTCTTAATAGTACGGCTATCGAACCTAAATGTGATCACACTCGCTAAGTGTATTGATCACCGAAACGAAAAGGCTCCTACCATTTATATCTTTGCCTTGAGTCTTTTATTTTACTTTATCCTTTTCCAAGTCCAAGCAATTTATCATCACCATGGCAACACCATCATTATGTCATGATCTTCATTTGCTTCACCACTTGAAATGTGCTACCTATCTCATGATCACTTGATAAACTAGGTTATCACTTAAGGTTTCATCAATTCATCAAAACCAAACTAGAGCTTTCAATCTTCCCCTTTTTGTAATTGATGACAACCCTTTCATAAAGATATGAATTGAAATTCAATTTAATCCATGTTGCTTGCCAAGCATATTTACTATGTGTAAAAGGATATGGACAAGTTTCATGAACCCCAAATGATAGCAGTTGCTCCCCCTACATATGTGCTAAGAGTTTGGATTGTAGTTTGCACATATGCCTAGATAGAAAATATAAGAGACAATATCTACCAAATGTTGCTAAGGTATAAAAGATGGACCTTTAAAACGTGATACCAATCGGAGTGCACCAATATACCATCCTTAGCACCATTAGTAACTAGACATACATAAAAATTAGAATACGCCGTGAGATCAACATTAGATGTAAGGGTCTCGTTTTCATAATGTGAGCATGAGTCTAGTTACTTAAACATATGCATGCTATTTTCTATTTTACCATTTAAACCTACAACTAGCATACACCACACAAGCATGGATATTGAAATTTAAAAACTTGTGCCATGTAAGTAAACATATAAAATGCACATTTAAATGCACCATACAAGTTCATGAGCTTGCTTTCCCTACTTGTGTGCTCAAAATTTTAATTGATCCCTTTCTTTGTCATATCTCTCCTCCTATGTCAAATTCTTCCCCTATCACTTATATCTTTATTTCTTTCCCCTTTGTTGTCTTAGTACACTATTTCTATTTCTCCCCATAGCACTAATATCTTTGTTTTTCTTCCCCTTTGTCATCAATGACCATAAAGGTTTAAAATGTAGATAGGTTGAGATTATCAATGTCAAACAATGGGGTGAGGATCATTTTTCCAAATTTGGTTCAATATAGAATACTTGCCAAAGACATTTAACTCGGTTTAATCCAAAGACAAGCTTCTTCACACCTCTAAATAAGAGTTATCTTGTACCATGTTGAGTTAAACACTTAGAGCTCATTTTCTAGATTAAACACTAGGTTTACAAGCCCACGAACATGTCATATGCTACCACTAGACCAAAATAAACATACAAGCAATAGTGGTACCATACATTCATCAAATTCATTTGATTTTCATGAATGAGCCTATTTAATGTGAGAGATGACTAGATGCACTAAACATGTCCTTAGCAAGGATGTATGCCATGCCAATCAACTTTTACTTTGGATTGCTCGAAGGAGAGGCATGTCATATGAGTAGGGGTGCATCAACACATATTTGAGAAATCCAATATGTTCAACTTATTCCTTAGCTTGCAAAACATTTTCTCATCCAATGGCTTGGTGAATATATCGGTAAGTTGATCTTCGGTGCCTACACTCTCAATGCAAATGTCCCCTTTTTGTTGGTGATCTCTTATGAAATGGTGATGGACATCAATGTGCTTTGTTCTTGCACGTTGAACCAGATTGTTGGTCAACTTGATTGCACTCTCATTGTCACATAGCAATGGCACTTTCTTGAACTTAATTTTAAAATCACTCAAAATGGCCTTTATCCAAAGTATTTATGCACAACAACTATCGACGGATATGTATTCAGTTTCGACGGTTGATAATACAACACTATTTTGCTTCTTTGATGACCATGAAACAAGTGATCTTCCTAACAATTGACATGTGCCCGAGGTGCTCTTTCTTTCAACATTGCATCCCGC